TAATTATTGAATCTGGAGAATTTGGATACCGCATTGGAACAGCTGTAGGAATTTCAACAGGATATTTGTCAAGAAATCAAATTGAAGCTGTTGCAGACACATCTTTATTTGCAGTAACAGTTCCTGAGCTTCAATTTTCGCTTAGTGAAGTATAGTTAAAAAAATTTCAAAAACTGATGGTCAGGGATTTCTTTCATGTAAATGCAAAGGAAGGAGCAGCACTTCTAAATGTAAATGTAAAAAGCAAAATTGTTATGCATTTCTGATTCCATTATTCCATCACATGCTCAAACAACTGATAAAGAACTATTTTTGTATTTTGTAAATAAGGTTTATTGTGTGGTCATTGGTTAAAAATTCTTTAGTGTGTATCAATGCATTTTTTATAACAAAATCCATATCATAAATTATTTTACAAGTTATAAGTGAATTTTAGTCAAATTTGTACAAATTGTAATTTGTACAAGCTTTTTTTGTACAAATTAAAATTTGTACAAAGTAAAAATACAAATTATAATGTGTACAATTTTTTTGTACAAATTATAATTTGTACAAAATGATAACTTGTACACAACGTTGTCTCACTCATGCGATTAAAAATCAGATTTGTTTTAAACATATACTGGAATTAAAACATTGAATGTTAATAAGTCTTTATAAATTTGATGCATTCGAAGCGCTTTTATTGATTTATCCAATTGATCGTCAATAAATAGAAGAGAATTTTCTGAGCCTGTTTTCTTTTCTTTATTCATTTCGCCCATTATTCTCTATTCGTTATATTTTAGCACCCCATTATTCTCTATTCTTTACTTTTTGGCCTATTTTTCTCTATTCTTTATTTTTTATACATTTTTTCTGCACTTTTCTGACCACTATTTTCTATTCTGTAAAACCCATCCAGACCCTAATAGAATGTCAAGGATGTATACCATCTTGATTAAGTGATGTGATGTAAAACCTAAAAAAATCTAAAAATAATAGCAAAATCAACCCAAAGAGTCTTAATAATATGCTTAAAAGATATGCCAATAATGTGACATATACCCATAAAACAGAGATGTTATTCAGCGGTAGATTGCTGTTGAAGACAATTTTGGCCAATCGTCACATCTCGGCCGATTCCGTTCTTTCATCTAACGGATAGAAGAAGAGTTGCGGATTCACCCGAGGATTGCCGATTGCAGTTTTGACGTACAAAAGTATACGACTTATATCTTTGATGAGATTTTTACAACCACATGACACTACTGGCACACGTTTCGTCCATAGAGTATCACCAGCCCAGAAGTCAGTACTTAAGTTTTGACATGAAATATCATTGAAACGTTCATTTTCGATAAATTTACATGTTGCATTATTCAAAACCCTAAGGTTTTTCTACCTTCAGGCATATATAGCCTTAGCCGTATTTGGAATTTTTGGTTTCCAATGCTCTTGAACGTCGTAATTGATTTAGCCTCCCACATGATTTGATTTGAGCACCACAGATGTAGTAGACGAAACTCGTGTCTGGCGTACCAAATTATAGTTGAAAAAATAGCAAACTGCAGGTTTTTGTAAATTCTGTATTGAAGGACATATGTCCTCTACTCAAATGAATTATTTTATGTTTGGGAGAAATACATATATTCATTACTATCATTTTCAGTAGAACTTGAGTTCTGTTTTATATTGTCCTCTCTTATTCTTTTTATCAATACTTAAAATTTATGAAAATTAAAGTCTTAAGCCATCTTTAGGCATCAAATATGCCATAACGTTGTAAGAAACACGTTATGCTGTGATACTGTGGACTTTACTTTCGATTCAGAAACTTTTAAAAGATAGTCACAATTAGTGGTCTGCAGAATATAAAAAATATTGACATCAAAAATAAAGAAAACTGGGCAAAAAAAAAAAGAACGAAGAATAATGGAATGCTGAAATATAAGGAATAAAGAATAATTGAGTGCTTAAATATAAAGAATAGAAAATAATGGGGAATAGACGAAGACTAGATTAAACTGGCATTAAAAGAATACTGAGAGACCCAATACAGACTCTCTTATAGTGTAAAGTTTTTTTTTTCATATAGGCAAATGCACGGACTACTGATCTTTGCACGTCTTCATCAATCATAACATCATCATCTCTTAATATATTTTCAGATGACATTGACACTATCACTCAACCTTATTTGCAGCAACAGTTCCTGAGCTTCAATTTTCGCTTAGTGAAGTATAGTTAAAAAGTTTTCAAAAACTGATGGTCAGGGATTTCTTTCATGTAAATGCAAAGGAAGGAGCAGCACTTCTTAATGTAAATGTAAAAAGCAAAATTGTTATGCATTTCTGATTCCATTATTCCATCACATGCTCAAACAACTGATAAAGAACTATTTTTGTATTTTGTAAATAAAGTTTATTGTGTGGTCATTGGTTAAAAATTCTTTAGTGTGTATCAATGCATTTTTTATAACAAAATCCATATCATAAATTATTTTACAAGTTATAAGTGAATTTTAGTCAAATTTGTACAAATTGTAATTTGCACAAGCACTTTTTGTACAAATTAAAATTTGTACAAAGTAAAAATACAAATTATAATGTGTACAATTTTTTGTACAAATTATAATTTGTACAAAATGATAACTTGTACACAACATATATATATAGTTGTCTCACTCATGCGATTAAAAATAAGATTTGTTTTAAACATATACTGGAATTAAAACATTGAATGTTAATAAGTCTTTATAAATTTGATGCATTCGAAGCGCTTTTATTGATTTATCCAATTGATCGTCAATAAATAGAAGAAAATTTTCTGAGCCTGTTTTCTTTTCTTTATTCATTTCGCCCATTATTCTCTATTCGTTATATTTTAGCACCCCATTATTCTCTATTCTTTACATTTTGGCCTATTTTTCTCTATTCTTTATTTTTTATACATTTTTTCAGCACTTTTCTGACCACTATTTTCTATTCTGTAAAACCCATCCAGACCCTAATAGAATGTCAAGGATGTATACCATCTTGATTAAGTGATGTGATGTAAAACCTAAAAAAATCTAAAAATAATAGCAAAATCAACCCAAAGAGTCTTAATAATATGCTTAAAAGATATGCCAATAATGTGACACATACCCATAAAACAGAGATGTTATTCAGCGGTAGATTGCTGTTGAAGACAGTTTTGGCCATTCGTCACATCTCGGCCGATTCCGTTCCTTCACCTAACGGATAGAAGAAGAGTGGCGGATTCACCCGAGGATTGCCGATTGCAGTTTTGGAGTACAAAAGTATACGACTTGTATCTTTGATGAGGTTTTTACAACCACATGACACTACTGTCGGACGTTTCGTCCATAGAGTATCACCAGCCCAGAAGTCAGTACTTAAGTTTTGACATGAAATATCATTGAAACGTTCATTTTCGATAAATTTACATGTTGCATTATTCAAAACCCTAAGGTTTTTCTACCTTCAGGCATATATAGCCTTAGCCGTATTTGGAATTTTTGGTTTTCAATGCTCTTGAACGTCGTAATTGATTTAGCCTCCCACATGATTTGATTTGAGCACCACAGATGTAGTAGACGAAACTCGTGTCTGGCGTACCAAATTATAGTTGAAAAAAAATAGCAAACTGCAGGTTTTTGTAAATTCTGTATTGAAGGACATATGTCCTCTACTCAAATGAATTATTTTATGTTTGGGAGAAATACATATATTCATTACTATCATTTTCAGTAGAACTTGAGTTCTGTTTTATATTGTCCTCTCTTATTCTTTTTATCAATACTTAAAATGTATGAAAATTAAAGTCTTAAGCCATCTTTAGGCATCAAATATGCCATAACGTTGTAAGAAACACGTTATGCTGTGATACTGTGGACTTTACTTTCGATTCAGAAACTTTTAAAAGATAGTCACAATTAGTGGTCTGCAGAATATAAAAAATATTGACATCAAAAATAAAGAAAACTGGGCAAAAAAAAAAAGAATGAAGAATAATGGAGTGCTGAAATATAAGGAATAGAAAATAATGGGGAATAGACGAAGAATAGAGTAAACTGGCATTAAAAGAGTACTGGGAGACCCAATACAGACTCTCTTATAGTGTAAAGTTTTTTATTTTCATGTAGGCAAATGTACGGACTACTGATCTTTGCACGTCTTCATCAATCATAATATCAGCATCTCTTAATATCTTTTCAGATGACATTGACACTATCACTGTCATTTGTTTTCTACAGTTTTCATATTGCGTTTGATTAATCTCTTTTTATACATTCGTCACACAGTTCTTTATTACAGGTTTATATGATTTTTTATCTTCTTTTAACTTCTGCCGAAGATTTGTGCAGCTTCGACATCCAGCTCTACTAAAGTTCTTTAAATAAGCATGTCATTTAAAAATGTCTCATGAAATAATATACTACTGCCTGGCAAAACGGTTTTCCAAGAATCATAAAAGTATAAGACATCCACCAAAAAAGCAAACAAGAAAACAAACAAACACACATACATACAAACAAAAAAGATTAAAAGAAAAAAAAAAGATTTAAAAAAAGAACACACACAAACATAAAAAGCCGACAAAAAACTAGAGTTGTAATGAATATGAGCATCTATCAGGACATTGACTTTGCGGAAATTTTCTAAAAACCTAATCAATCAATGACGCAGGTTACTTATAGTACAAAACTAATAACGGAAACTCATCGGCAATACGCCACATATAAAAACCTTTGTTCAGAAATTGATACATTCAATTGATGTTGTTTGCACGTTCAAATAAGTGACCCAGTCAAGAAATAGATATGTCATGCTCATCAAAATGGCATATCTTAACCAGAGTAAACAAAGTTATCTTTATTTTGACATTAGTTGCACTTTGTTTGTTGGTCCTTGGATTTCCAACGCCATTTTGGATTTCGATATCTGTGGAAACTGACTTCCACAGCGAAAGATTTATCTACAAAAATTTCTTTTACTATTTAATCTTTGAACCATACGAGGAAGAATATGTTGGTCTTTGGCAGTGGTGCTTTAAACAATATGGATGTTTTGATTTATCATTGTTCGCTCAAATGTTTTCAACATTTACCAACAAAACACACATAGATGGTACAGTAGGGATAATAATATACAAGACGAACAGAATTATAAGTATGCTAGCATATTAATAGATATACTTTTATACTGTGTATCAATTATTGTAGGTTTTTTTGTTATACATTAGAAATTATATGATAATAAGTTTGTTTTCAGAGGTCGATCGCGATATGTTCTTTTTTGTTCTTCTTATTATAAACATTTTTGAATTGAGGAATAATGAAGAGATTTGATAAAACGGTGATGTATGTCTGAATATGGTGATCCAAACCTTAGAGTTAAAAAAAAAAAATGTTTCTACCATAGTGGCGAAGATATGCCAAACCAGACACATTATTCTAAATCCGATCCGAACTGTCTTTGCTTTTGCTCCTAAATGCTGCAAGATTATCGAAAAAAACAGCCGAGTATTACCTTTTTTTTAGTTCAGCACTATATGGTTTAACCTGGCTTTAGTCGATCTTACAACGTCACACACTCGAAGAAGTACCCTACAAGGAGAACATCGATACCATATAATAGATTTGTTGGTGCTTTTCAGAGATGTTGAAGTCCAACTTAAGATTAGGGAATTAATACATATTTTTTACAAAGCAACTTGTTGCAAACTTTTATGTCAATTTGTCACTGGCGAAAAGTTGACTCATTGGCAAAACATGAATTTAAAAAAAATATAAATGTTCATAATACAGAAAGGTACGTGATACCTGCCATAAGCAATAACAATTTACTGTTCTTTTGAAATGTGGGAAAGTAATAATTCATACTTTTTTACATTTTCAAGTTTCAAATTTTATTTAATTCAGAAGCCGCGAATAAACAAATACATTCAACAAATCAAAATAACATAAAACAGTTGTAGGGCCATAAGTGAGACAACTGGACATACAATGACTAGGCTGGGCATCCGTCTGCTAGACACGGGTATCCATAACGTTAGAATCAAACGGATAAAAGGATATAAATCAAAGAAGTAAAATCAAATCGACGTATTGCATTCAATTTTAACTTCTCTGCACGGTCGAACTTGAAATTCCATTTCATCTAATATTAGCATATCCCTTAATTAATTTTCAACGTTTAGAACTATTTAAATTAGCATAATCCCGTTTACACGGAATCAATTTAACTCTTTTAAACCTTTGTAGATTTGTGGACAGTTTCAAGACCATTTTCAACGTTTGAACGCAGAAATATTAAAATTAGCATAATCCCTTTTACACAAAGTCAACTTAATTTTTCTAAAACCTTTTTAGATTTGTGGGCAGTTTCAAGATCATTTGCAACTTTGGCCGTCGTTTGTGCAATATCGTTTTTGATTTGGAAACTGTATTTCATCTGGATAAGGAAGATGAACCATGTTCGTATCTACCATATTGTGTCAATTGTTGAAAATTTCATCATTGGTAAGTCTTAATATACATTATACGCACATGTCACAATATACACAAAATATTTGTATGAGCTTATCATCATTTTCACACACATGCTAGATTCAAATAGAATATTATTAAATTTAATGATTGATGTATATCTAGAAATATTATAACTATTGCAGGCATGTATAATGACGGGTGTGGACGTAATCAACAATTAAGGGATACGGATTTATATAAGTTCTTCTTGTGTGCGAATCCCTGTATTTCTATTGTATAATTGTAGTTTGTGCACTTTTGAAAAAAAAAATTGTTTAAGGATGTTCGCTACTCTGTTTCAAACTAACAAGCTTTTTAAAAGACTGTTATAAATCAATAGTTTATAAATAAAGGAACTGAAAAAGTAGAAAAAAATTAAGGGTCCGTGTGGTTGTTTTCGAGATATAAGCTATTGAAAATTTGGCGGGAAATGATTCTCTCTAGACTTTTCATAGAATTAACATTGGCACCTTTTTTCTTTCAAAAAATATGAAAAAATAACAAGGATTTTATAAGATTTTAAAATACGGCTTTTAAAACTATATGTAATAATATTATGAAAAGAAAAGTAGGGGTTACCGGGCAATTTGTTTTATTGGCAATAGATAGATAAAACCAGAGGATTCCGAATATCTGGCAAAAATTCAAAAACAAGAGTAGCGAACATCCTTAAGCTTACCATAATTAGTTAAGTATACCATAATGCATCTTTTATCAAAATGTTGTTGCGAGACAGTCAATTAACATGATCTGATTCTATAGCAGACAGCAACCATGTTGATGACGAACCAATTAAAAGCGTTCGAATGGGATATCTCCTTTTCCTACAAACCATCATAGTTGTATTCGAGTTCGAATTTCCCTTTTTGCGTCGAGTTTAATAACCATATTAATATAGGCAGTTCTTTTTTTGTTACATGTTACATGTATTTATATTGTAGGTTCTGCTTTAATTGTATGCTTGGCAACGTTTGTTGTTGCAATTCAAACATTCGATGAGCTAATGATGGATATGATATCGGGATGGAACATTGACAGATTCGTAGAAATTAACAGATATTTTTTCATTTCTTCCTGGATGGTTTCTGCTGCAACATTATTGTACTTTTGTAATGGAATACTAGCAGTTGTCAGTTTATACAGATGCTATGTGATCAACACAAAAGCCGCATATGGAAGACGCTCAGTAGCAACTATTGGAAGTGGATGGGCGGAACCCTGGGGATAACTTCTGTTGATATTAATTGAATTATTGTACAGAGACCAACATTGACAGACTAACAGTTAGGTTTTAAAGACTATTTTTGAGGCATCGGTCGTCCGTCTTTACCATATCATGTATATCAATCTTGAGTATGAAAACCGTATGTTTACTTTGAAAATGAAAAAAAATGCTTTTATATTTTATTGCAAAGAAAATGAATGTAATATACTTAAATTATACAATTTATATATTTTTATATATTTTATGTAAATATTAATTCAGTCACACTAATGTTGAATCTGTAAAGAGAGACTCTGGTTTAATATATTATGTGAATATATATTTGAAACATGTTTTTATGGAAAGTGAAGCTTCAATAAAGTATTATTTTGTCTTGTGAAAAATGCCTTTTTTGGCCCCTTTTTGACCCCTAATTCCTAAACATTTGGGACCATATTTTGCAATATAATTCTAGAACCATTAGAAAAAAAAAACATCAAACAACCGTGCACAACACGACACAGAAACGAGCAATAATGATAATGTGTATTTCTAATGGAAATATAACTTTGAACAACAAAGATATGTTGAAGATGGAAAAGAAGAAGATATATTCTGACCTTCATTTTGACAGTCTTTGTTTTTATACTTTAAAAAAATATTCGTGCCATAGGTCAGGACTTCGCTAAATTATTGGCTTATTGTGAAAAACGACTGAGATCTCTAAATACTCAAACTAATATTGTCTCCTTATATATGAGCAAATCTTTGACTAGTAACAGCTTCTAAACAAATACAAGTCTTTATTGTATTGTAAACATCACAGGAACATCAGGTTCTCCTTGTTGTTAAAACATAATTGTTATCATAATTAATGATGGCCGGACTTTATTACAGAAAACCACCAGGTTTTGTACTGCTGTCTGGAAAACCAACAAATCCCTTTGAAAAATAACAAAAAGGCATTGATGGCTCTTGAATGTTAAATGCCAAAACGGTCAAAATCGAAATCATTTGATCTGCATTTTAGGGGATTCGATATTTAAATGTAAAATAAAAAAAAAATTCTGTCAAGTGTTACTTAAAATATCCCCCGGAAAAAAAAAAATCCCAATTGATAGATTATTGAGGACATAACTGTTGAACAACAAATGCCGATACGTCAAAATCAAACTAGACCTGTATTGTATGACATTGTGTTGACATTATTAAAGTTTTGTTAAGTGGTCCTTTAAATTATCATCCGGAAAAAAAAAATATCCCTTTTCGTTTCAACTTAGATTGAATTTTTTGTAATTAAATAATCATTCGCAAACCAAATATTTGACGAACAGACATTTTGAATACCTCTTGCATTCCTATATATGTCCCCTAGGCGGAGGTATAATAAGTGTTTTAATCAGTAAAATATTGAATTGCATTGCTGCCATAAGTTAATCTTGTTAATGTTTGTACGGAAAATAATTTTAATACGAAATACTTGATTTTAGATTAAATATATTTCCAGTTTCCATGGTTTTTATAACAGCGTGTTCTGTGTAACCCCTTAATACCGTAAAAGAAGCGTCAAACCTAAATAACCCGCTATGCAGTTTTAAGCATGACGCAAAAGTTCGATAAAGAGGTAGGACAAAATTCCAATTTAGTTGTTTCACTCACGCCACCGAAAATCTGATATGATTCATTGATATCAAAATAAAAATATTAACTGTAAATAACACTTATAAATTGTTGCATTCAAAACGGTTGAAAGTTCTTGGATATATTTAGTTAATTGGGAAAATTCAAGGCCAAAAAATTGAAAGCCAATGGTTTATTACCTTAGGATCTATAAATTTTAAAACCAAAAGGAACGATGTGACACACATTCATAAAACAAAAATGTTATTCAGCGCTATACACTGCTGTTTTGACGTACCAACAAATAAGCTTTGTATCTTGGATGAGCTTTTGCAACCACGTGACACTGGTGGACGTTTCGTCCCTAGGGTATAACCAGCCAAGAAGTAAGGAAAAAAGTTTGATTGGTATTTCTAGTTAATACTAATTTGGACAGCCCTCTTATAAAAGCGAAAATGTAGTGCCCGAATTAAAGAACGTCCCAAATCAAGACTTTTGGAACCTAAAATTAAACAAAGCCGAAACAGATGTATGCATTCTTTGATTAATAAGGCCATTTTTCTCTATCCCTTAATTGTATTGGCACTTTTCTCTGTTCTTTATATTTTTACACCGCATAAATGTCCATTCTTTATATGTGCTGTCTTTTGTGTTATTTTTTATTTCGTTTTATTTTGCCCCTTATTCCCATCTTTTGTTCAATATTCCCTATCCTCTAAAACCTTATCCATACCCTCCATAATCCAGTTGCTTATTTATTCATTTGTAGCAACCTAATGAGTACTGTTCAAAATAAAAGGTTTGATACGCCATCTGGTGTTCTATTGGCACTATTGTATATAAAGAAAAACATAAAGCTAATTATGCACTTTTAAATATACTAGAATAGTTTGTTCTTAAATGGACGTTAAGCAACCAACAATCAATCAATCAATCATTTCCAATATGTTATAATTCCAGGCTTATATGCAGGAATTTGCATTGTTTGATTACTCGAAGAAAATCCGAAGAATTTAATATTTACCTTTTTTTAATAAGAGTCAGTCTAGCAATGTTTGATTTATGGAGTTTGCAGAAAAGAAAATAAATTTAAAAAAATAAAAAAAAAAAAAAAAACAGCGAAAAATGCACCAAAAATAATTAATATAAAATAATTCTCGTGTTCATAAATATAAAGAAAAGAGAATAATGGAGTACTTAAACATAAAAATAGAGAATAATGGAGATCAGAGTAAAATGGAAAAAAAAATACAGAAAAACGCGATTCAGACCCTCTTATTGAACTAAATAATTCTAGAGGTAGCTACTGTCATTTGTCTTTTACACTTTTCATTTTGCGTTTGATTCATCTCTAGATTCGTCAGACAGTTCTAACTACTTACTTACAGGCTATTATGATTTCTTATCTTCTTTTAACGTCTGCAGAAGATTTGTGCAGCTTCGGCATCTAGCTAAACACGAGTTCATGAAATAAACATGTCTTAAAAAAATGCCCCATTGCAAAGTACAATACATGCACAACCGTTGCGGTCATCTGATAATATAAATAAATACATGAATACCCGCAGCCCCCCCCCCCCCCCCCCCCTATTTGAAGAAAATAGTAACAAAGCCAGAAAAAGATAAATGAAATAAAAGAAAACAACAAACAAACAAAAATACCCCACACAATCCTAAAATTTTATTGGATAATGACATCTCTTATGAAAATTCATTTCCTGTTAATATTCGAAAAACACAGTTAAACAATGGCAAGGGTACTTATAATCTAAAAGTCATAGAGGAAACTCATCGAAAATGTGATAATTTATTCTACTTAACGCCAGACATATTAACCTTTGTTCGGCAATTTTTAAAGACAATTAATATTCTTTGCATGTTAACACAAAGTGAAAATAAATATGCCATGCACAACAAAATGGACAAATTTAACCAGAGCTAACAAAGTTATCTTTGTTTTGACAGTGGTTGCACTTTCTTTGCTTGTCTTTGGATTTTCAACGCCACTTTGGATTTTGATATCAGTGAAAACTGAATTTAACTTTGAAGCTTTTGAAATGGTCGAGAAGGAATATATTGGTCTTTGGCAGTGGTGCTTTAAACATTATGGATGTTTTGATCTATCTTTTCTGGCGAAACAATTTTCAATATTTACCAAGATTAACAAACGTTTTAATCTGATAGATGATGTGATAATAAACAAGGCCAACAGAATTATAAGTATGTTAATATATAATTATAGTTATACTTTTATATTTTGTATCTACTAATGTTGGGTTTTTCATATACATTAGGCATTATATGATATTAAGTTTTTTCCCGATTTCGGCTGCGATATGTGCTTTCTTTTTTTTTTATATTTATTTTAAACATTTTTGAATTTGGGAATAATGAATAAACTAGATAAGATGGTTGAATTTAGTGGACCAAACTTTAAATTTAATAAACAGTTTTTCAACGATAGTGTCGAAGATATGCCAACCCAGACACATTATTCTTAATCCGAGCCGAACAGTCTATGCTTTTGCTCATAAATGGTGCGAGATTAGGAGAAAAAAAAACAACAGTTCAGAACTCTATTGTTTAATCCGGCTTGGGTCGATCTTACAACGTCAGACAATCAAAGAAGTACTCTACAAAGAGACCATCGATGCCGTGTAACAGATATGTTGGACCTTTTCAGAGAGATTTGAAGTATAACTTAAGATGAGGGAATTAAAAAAATATTGTTACTTTCAATGATAAACTCAAGTTTTACAAACCTCTAGTTGCTAACTTCTATGTCTTTTCGTCACTGGCGAAAATTTTCCTCCATGGCAATCATACTACATCTTCTTACTTTTATAACATGCGTAAAACATATAAATGTTATTAATACAGACAGTAACATGGTAAGTACCATAAACAATACTGATCTTGTTTAATGTGGAACCGATAACATAGCATTAATGCAAATTTACTTCATGGAATAATGCATAATATTTACATTTTCAAGTTTTAAGTTATATTTAATTCACAACTCCGCGAAAAACAAAAGCGTATGCAAATAAACAAATTACATTCAACAATTCAGAATAACATATATATATATATATATATATATATATATATATATACAGTTGTAGGGAAATAAGTGAGATAGTTGTAATCCCGTTTACACAGAATCAACTTAAACTTTTTTTAACCTTTTATAGATTTGTGGACAATTTCTAGATCATGTGCAACTGTGGCCGTCGTTTGTGCAATATCGTTTTCGATTTGGAAACTGTATTTCATCTGGATACGGGAGATGAACCATGTCCGTGTCTACTATATTGTTTCAATTGTAGAAAATTTCATCATTGGTAAGTCTTAATATACTTTATACGAATCTTATGAAATTTGATGTATATCTAGATAATCATAGCTATTGCAGACATGTTTAACGGCGGTTGTTGCCGTCAACCACAATTCGTGAAGTATACCATAATGCATTTTATTATACAAATTTCTGTGCGAAAAAAGTCCATTAACATTATCATATTTTATAGCAGACAGCGACCATGGTGATGACAGATCCCAACGAACCAAGCGTTCGAATGGGATATTTTCTTTTCCTACAATCCGGTATATCTATTTTGAAGTTTAAAATTTAAACATGTATAGACAGTACTTTTTTGTTACATGTTACATGCATTTATATTGTAGGTCCTGCTTTATGTGTATGCTTGATAACGTTTAGTGTTGCAATACAAACCTATGATGAGCTAAAAATTAATCTATATAATAACGGATTGGATATTAACGAAATACTACACAAAGTAGACATTCACAGATATTTTTTCATTTCTTTTTGGATGGTTTGTGCTGCAACAATACTGTACTTTTCTAATGGGATACTAGCCATTGTCACTTTATGCAGAAGCTATGTAATCAACACAAAAGCCGCATCTGGAAGACGCTCAGTAGCAGCAACTAAAAGTGGAAACGAGAAATCGTTAGAAATGATTTATGTGTATAATTCATAAATTATAGAACAACTCTGACAGATTAACAGTTCGGTTTTTAGATTATAATTGATAATAGTCTTTGTTCGATTTCTTGTCATTCTGATGGCGTTTGTCGTACGGTTTTACCATTTCTCAGTTATACAAATATAAATTTTTGAGAATGAAAGGTAGAACTAAATCAATCTTGAGTAAGGCAACCGTATAAATAATTTATGGAGTGTCTTTTTTTTTTTTTACTAAAATTTCCTTTTTAGAATTAACAATATACTATAGGTACTTCTTAGAGCGCTCTTAGATATGTCCATTTGTTTTATCTCCTGTTCCTTTTCCCATATTTTACAAGTTTCCAATTAGATTCCTTTCCCCATATTTTATTGATGGTTTCTCTTCGGTCTCATTTACGTACTTGTATATCTTTATTTACTCTTGGCATGCATACATTATGTAACATGTTTATAAATATTAGAGTGGAAGTGCAATATTTTGTAAAGAGTCAAGCATGACTATTTTCCATATTTTTATCATGAAATCCGCCAATTAGTTTGCTTCAAATAAATGTTTGCTTTATTTGTATAGGTTAAAGTTAGTTTCGTGAGTTATTCTACTAATATGTTTATCGAACAGTGATGTTAACATTTTTGTTTTATCCTAGTTTATTATGAGTCATCCTCAGTGATCGCGTTTATGCCATGTCGACATGTATGAAAATCATACAACAGTTCGAAACAAAACAAAATGTAAAGGGTAAATTACTGGATAAAAACAATATATGTACATAGTCAGTAAAAAAAAAATTAAATTCAATGTACTTGCTACAAATCAGGAAAAAAGTTTGGCGAGCCTCGTTGTTCGTCCTGTTTCTTGTTGGTAAAATTATCAATCATATACTTATAAATATAGGAGTGATTTTTGAGTGACATTATATGGAATTTTAAAATCGATTAATTAATAAATTGTTTGAAAAATAAAGTTGCCACTCCCCAGACAAAGCTGATCTTAATGAATTTGGTATCAATATAATGTACTTAAATTATGAGTTTTATATATTTTATGTAAATATGTATGTATAGCTTCTCATGAGTCGTTAAACAGTGGCTCTGGTTTTATATATTTTGTGAGTTTATATTTTATACGTTTTTTTTTTTATAAAAAGTGAAACATTAATGTATTGTCTTTGTCTTGACTGCATTATTTAACATAATTCTAGAAATGTTAGAAGGCCCGGGCGGTAAATATAGGACAATACCACTGTTAAACTATCCGTAATTTTAGGCAGTTTATTTGCTGCTCCGGTTTTATCTCTTTTTATACATTCTGTAGATATCTCATACCTCTTATTTTCAGGTTTATGACAAAACTGTTGACAAAATACTTGTATTTTAAATTAGTAGTGAACATGTTTACTTCTAACTGACAAGATCTGCTTTGAAATTTTATTACAAAACAAATAAATGTAATATATTTAAATAATGCATTTTATATATATTATTAAATATTTATATCCAGTCACACAAATATACTCTTTTAAGAATGGCTTTGGTTTTATATATTATGTGAATTTGTATTTTTAACATATATTGTATAAAAAGTGAAACTTCAATAAAGTATTAATTATCTTGTTTTGTTTTTATTATTTAACATAATTCTAGACCCTTCGAAAATCAAACTAAAAGAACCAAAGGACCGTGCCGTACCACGCAGTGATGTGTAATAATGATACTCTGTACTTTCCATTGTTACACCGAACCATTGTACCTACATAATGTAGAGTATTTAACTATAAATAAGAATTACAAAATCTTGATTTAGAAGAATACTTGAAAAACTTTCCATAACTTACAAAACCTCTGGCCATGTAATTGCTGGTGATCTAAATATATAATTCACCTGAAAATCTCCGGAAGGTGATATCTGTTGGCTCCTAATTTAGAGAGTCACAACACATCAATTGAACCATTATTTTAAAATGATAATGGATTCCGTTGAGGATTACGCCAGAGCATGGACAAAACGAGAAAAGCTTGAACCAGACGCTCATTCAGAATTGGTTACATCAATTAGGTCGTTGACACAACGTAAAATCTATAAGTTGAAAAACTGTGTAAATGTTCGACCTAAGTCCGTATCGAGAGACAAAGAGGTTGTGAAATGTCTGAAATCTCTTCACGCTAAATATGTTGTTGTTGCTGCTGACAAGGCTTCACACAATATTGTTTTTTGTCTGTAAATCCGATGCAAGTGTCTAATCAAAGAAATAGGAATACATGAACGCTCGGGTAATCCCATGTACAAAAACGTAACCTTTGATAGGGGTGAGATCTTGACACACATATACGTATACGTATTTGCGGATTCATATGAACTCAAAATAACTTCTAGAAAATTTCAAATCTCGGTCATTCTCTGAAATAAATTATATCAAAACCTTCTATTATTCCATTACAGGTATATTTATGATGTTCTTTCCATTTTTCTCTATTCTGTAAATCCGAAACAGAAACTCTGTCAGCATATTACCCACAAAACCTATCTCAAATGTTGCTCAATAGTCGCATTTTGACCTGAAACGTATTTAATGTGACCTACCGAATTACACTTATCGCCATATGTGTACCTAAATGAGCAAAACGGCGGGTGCCATAAGTGAAACAATATGTGCTTATCCTTCCGGAGAACCTGAGATCGCCCCCAGTTTTTGGTGCGGTTCGTGTACATAATCTATAGTTTTCTATGTAGTGTTTTATAGACGGATGTTTGTCTTTGTTCTCAGCCATGGTATTGTGATTTCGTTTTCGACTTATGAGTTTGAATATTCCTGTGGTATATTCCGCCTTATTCTTTAACTATAAATACGTCAACGCACACACAGTATGAGAACATTCTCAGTTCATGAAAGCCTGTTCAATGCCAAATTTAATCTAATACTAATATATATTCCATAAAAAAAACAAATAACCGCGTATAGATATGACAGAAAGTGTATGCACGTGTACAGAGCTTATCTTTTCTTGTAGTGGCAGGTACATGTACTTCATTCTATTAAGCACACACGCTTTCGTTATACATGTATTTTGACTCTTTTTTGTGGAGCAGTTTCCTTATCAAAGGAGTAGGTTCGATAAGACTCTAAAATGGCCCTTATTTTTATTTAAAATTTCAAATTGGCATTTATTGACCGACATCGCAATGAATCATAGCCTATACAATAAACAGGAAATATGTAATTTTGTTAACAATTTACGTTCTTGCGTTCTATCTATTACGTCACAAATATAACTGATTTTGATTTTCCACGAACATTTAAATGAAAACGTAAATTTCTATTGATTCTTGGACTAAAACATAGAGCGCATGCGTCGTACAAAAAAGATAATGTTTGTTAAGACATCTTATATATCTGACTCGAATACTTAGTTTTTCGGCGCCTCCGCTCTATGTTTCTCAGGCCTGCGTTTGGTTGAAATCCGGACGATTTTGTCAAATTGCGCTAAAATCTCTATTTCTAACCTATTTTGGATGTCACAATCAACGCTTTAAAAATAGAACTATTAGGAAAACAATTGTATTTCACTTTTGCATATGTCTTTTCGTAAACTTAAAATGTTTTTATCTAGAAATATTGAACCTAATATTCGGGGCCAAATATGGCACTTACCGAATTTACTTCTTTGTTGTGGAACATAAACATTTTATTTGTCATTTGCAATGTGAAGTGTAAGGCTAGTATTAATCTGTACTTCACGTGCAAATAACACGTGCGTTTAATGTATAACGGTAAATGCGAAAACAAATGTTTGTGTAGCAGTTTTTCCTTGATTGTAATAGTCTAGTAATCACAAATTCTGGACTGCTCTTATGTAGAAGTGTTATTTTGTTCCCGAATTTAAGAATATGACATCCAAATTCAAGCCTTTTAAAACCTAGAATTCAACAAAGCCAAAACAGATTGCCCTAGGAGAAAGTCTGTGTTGTTCTTTATTTGCACGTAGCCTAGCACAAATAATGAGGGACTTGATGGCGGGTCCTTGATTTCTGTATTTTTTAATTAATAAGGCTATTTTTGTCTTGCCTGCAACGAAAGTGGCAGTATGCGAGACTTAGGTATAACCACCCGGTGGCGGCGGCGGCGACAACTTTTTGTATAAAGCTTGATATTTCAGAAGGTAGAAGACCTGGTTGCTTCATATATTGTATGCAGATACATATACCTTATGTTAAGAAGTTTCAGTCTGTCATATGTTCATTGTCCTTGACCTCATTTTCATGGTTCAGAGACTGTAAACAAAATTAGTTTTTTTGTCATGTGAATTTCTCACTTATTATGAGAAATAAGATAACTATATTTGGTATATGGGTTCCTTACATAATCTTCATGTATGTCAGAAAGGATTCACCTTATCGCAACCTCTTTCTATGGATCAGCGATCTAGGTTAAAGGTACGTGATTAGGTCAGTTTTTCAAATACTTAAAGCATCAGGTCAACTATATGTGGTGTATGAAATGACTGTAATGGGTACACGTTAGTCTGGCAGGTATCATCTGCCCTTGACCTCATTTTAAAGGTTCATTGGTCAATGTTAAGTTTTTTTATGTTTTGGTCTGTAGTTCAAATATTATAAGCAGTAGGTCAACTATACTTGGTGTATGGAATGATTGGAAGATGTACATGTCTGTCTGACAGGTTTCATTTGACCTTGACCTTATTTTCATGGTTCATTGGTTATTATTAAGTTTTTGGATTTTGGGCTGATTTTCAAAAACTATAAGAAATAGGTCAACTATATTTTATGTATGAAATGATTGTAAGTTGTACATGTCTGCCTTGCATGTATATTCAGCCTTGATCTCATTTTCATGATTTATTTGTCAATGTTAGGATTTTGTGTTTTGGTCTGTTTTTTCAAATACTATATGCAATAAGTCAACTATATTTGGTGTAGGGAATTATTGTAAGGTGTAAATGTCTGTCTGGTACGTTTCATCTGACCTTGACCTCATTTTTATTGTTCATTGGTCAATGTTCAGTTTCAGAAGTGTAAATTTTTGCTTCATATCAATAGATTCCTTTGGAACTTTTTCCCTGAACTTCTCTGATCAAATTTCATATATATATATGGATATTTAGCATGTTCCAGAGAGGCTAACAGCCAGTACAAAAATAAATATACGTTGATACTACAGGAGATAGAGAAATAAATTGAAGTTGGTACTACTACAGGAATTAATTTGAAAAGCAACTTCTTAAAAAAACAATTTCACAGCAAGCTCCTATAGCCTGCTTTACTAGTCATTTGCTACTTAAGGGGGGGGGGGGGGAGTGATAACATTAAAAAGAAATTTTGTTTTTATTTCAACTTATCTCTGATTTTACTATTGAACAGAACGTTTTCCTGTGAATTTATGATTGATTGCGTCCTTGCTAAAAGAGGACAACATAGAAAATATCTAGTTTTTAAGTATTTACAGGGGAGGTAATATTTTGTCACTAGATTTCCCATTGTTCATGTCTGTCAGACAGGGTTCACCTGACCCCAACCTCATTTCATTAATCAGTGATCAAGGTTATAGTTTGATGGTTAAGTCCGTATTTCAGATACAATAAGCAATAAGTCAACTATATTTGGAGTATAGAATGATTGTAAGGTGTACATGTCCAACTGGCAGGTTTCATTTGACCTAGACCTTTATTTCATAGTTCATTGAACAATGATTAGTTTTTATGATTTGATCTATTTCTCAGGTACTATAAGCAATATGGTCACCTTGATTGGTGTATGGAATGATTGTAAGGTGTAAATGTCTGTCTGCCAGGTTTCATATGACCTAGACCTTATTTTCATAGTTCATCGGTCAATGTTAAGTTTTCATGGTTTTGTCACTGAATCAGATACTATTAGCAGTAGGTCAGCCATATCTGGTGTAAAATGTTTGCAAGGTATTCATATCTGTCTGGCAGGGTTCATATGACCCTGTCCTCATTTTTTTGGTTTTATTGGTCAATATTAATTTGTCATGGTTTTCTCAGTTTATCAGGTACATTAAGCAATTGGTCAACTATAATTGGTGAATAGAATAATTATTATGTAAACATGTCTGTCTGGCAGGGTTCATTTGACATTCACCTTGTCACTGTTATTCGATTATAATCAAAGATAAGCAGGCAAGACATTTCACCATGTACACTCCTGTTTAAACGGCTAGGATCAAAAGTAAACAAGGGTTTATAATTCTGTTGATGAAATTAAATTTTCAACTTTTTCTTAATTGCATTCAAATTTATACTTAAACTAGAACACACCCGCAAAATCATTTTCAGCCTGGATTTTTAGTATTCATATTGTCGTCTGATAAAGTCATGCTGATTATAAGAGGCACATATTTTTTCTGCTTTCAAAATCTGTCTGTTTATCTGTCCTGGTTTACTTGATAACATCAAAAACTACGTGTGACAAATACAATTGGTATCGGTATAGGACTCTGAACTTGTTAATTATTGGTAATATTAATTATATGAAAACGAAAAGGGCCTGGAATTGTGTCATTTTTAATGAACACTATTGTCCTTTATTAGTTATATATAAAGTTGAATTCTTTGATTCATTCTTTGTACGGCATTCA